AGCGTAAGCAAGCCATGAAAAAAAATGAGATTATCAGAGCGCGTGGAACGTGATGTTAAGCAGCTAGTAACCCTCCATGAAACTACATGATAAAATTTGGATTTTCAAAAGCTTCGTTCAAAAAAGTTAGTTTGTCATCTGGGGCTTCCAAAAGATAATAGATAATATACTAGACTTTTTTCAACATTTTGGCAAAATTTGGTAATGATATCATCACAATCGACTAATTATCGAAACCCTTCAAGATTGTTTATTGCCTTTATTTACAATTAGTCAAATAATACTAATAGATGGCGAATGATGAAATGCTAATAAATTAAATGATCTATGTTATTTTATATTTTTGAAACTAAAAATTATCGTGAATGCGTAAGGTGCTTATTTTGATTTTTTGGGTATAAAAATAATACCGATACGTGAAAAGTTTCCTCGCTTTTGGAGTCGATCTTTACAAGTCCAATGTATAAAGTAAATAAAGTACATTGGGTATCTCATAAGCAATCGCATTCGAAACGCGCATATAAATCGAGCAACTTCCAAGTTCACGGAAGTAATTCATTTCTGCATTCGTATGTGTGTACACGCGAGCTTTCTCTGAAATCTTACGAGCGCAATTTATCATATACGTTCTTACCACGAGCCTATAAGGCTGATTGTGATCGTGAGTCGAGTACGTACATAACATTTTTCCGATATTTCAGGATTTGGCCGTGGCGGTGTTGGCCACGAATATTCAAATTAAATTTTCCACATATCGAGTACGCGACTATAGCGTTATTAGGATTGAGCTATGGTACAAGTATGCTTCCATAGGCGGTTACGTGCCGAGCTTTTGTTCCGGAGATTCAGATTTGTATATTGTGCTTTACGGTCGAAGAGACAAGCCGCGTCATCTTTTGCAACTTAACTATGTGCATAAAGCGTTTATAACGCATACCGATTCATTTGATCCTTGACAAGGCCGCGTGCGCAATCGAGCGCCCGCGCACGAAAAATTTTTCGCCCTTTCTCCATATCTATATACATATTATATATTATATGCATACTCTCAGTCGATAAAAGTTCGAAAAATCATCGCACCACAGTTCGTATTACGTATATCGGTATATTAAGCTTTCGTGCATACACATGCACATTGTGTATGTGTGTGTGTTTGTATAGGTATATAGGATGCTCGTCCACATTCATAAATACAAGTATATCGCACGCACATACACATGCATGCAGAGAGAATCGAGTCACTTTCTCCGATTTTCGCCCTACGCACACTACTCTGTGTGCACACCTATACTATGGATTCGCATGCCGCTAACTTTCGCACTCATCGAAGGAGACTCGAAAGTCGCGTGTGCAGAGCGCATACTTGCGATACACATATGCATACACTCAACGCATGCATATAAACCTCGACGAAAGTGACAACAAAAATGTTTTTATAAATGTATAAATTTCGACATGCGCGTGAATACGGATATAATATATAGTAGCACACATGCACCCTCGTGCTGTTACCTCTTGAACTCACCTCTGGCAATTCAAGTTCTTCTAGCTCAAACTCATCACCAACTTACAACAGATCGCTTTAAGGTGCAACCTTTTGGAATTGTGAATTTTCACTTCGATAAAGCTCCGATAAAATGTCCCGAGCTCGGGCATTAGGCGGCGTAATCAACGACGCTTCAGCGCGACTAATTTCTCCACGCGGATCTAATGCATGAATCGTGGCAAAATAATCGGCAGTACGGAAATGGCGCTCGGATGCGCTCGGGGGCTCTGACGCTACGCGCATAACACACGGAAGTTGTCGTGGCCGTCGTCATTGTCGTAGTCATGGCGATAAAAATATATCTGTTAAGATCGCTGCGCAAAATCGGTAACTTCGCGACGCGTACACTTGTGCGTGCATGGCATCCACTGGCCATGTCGCACTACGCGATCCACGCCAAGTGCATCCGGAGAAGAGCCGATTTCGACTTTGCGCTCACTCGACTAGAGGATGACTCGCCAAATGCTTGGCTTATTATATCGTAAGTGCTAATTCATAAACCGAGGAGAAAGGTGCTGCTCTCGCGAGTCTCGATTAATATAAAACTTTGATTGTGCTCATTGTTGTATCCATGATTGATGCATTTTCCGAGCTCTCGATTCGTCCGGCGAGTCAGCCAGAACGAATTTTTCCAATCATTCCGTTAACAGGAGCGATTGTTATGCACGTGAGTATTCCTGCCAACATTTCAACTGTCCTTCGTAAGTAGAACAAACTGAATCGGCAAACATGTCGCCTCAGAAATCAAATATTTTCTGTTGCACTGTAAATGTACTTATAAATGTACCTAAATATCCTGTGACGTAAATTTCCATATTATATGTAAGTTTTACCATTTATGTACCATTTATTCATAAAACACTAAAAACCACTGCAATTACAAATAATGTAAAATTTTAATTTCTCAAACTTTCTTAATACGCCTGGAAAAAATACATACATCTATCAAAAGTTGAAAATGAACGCACTTGTGATGTCATTCGTCATTATTTATGTGGTTTTTATGAGGCTTTATGAGGTTTCATGAGCCATTGTTTGTAATGAGAATATATAAATTCACTGTTTATTTTGTATGCGTAACTGTACCATAATCTTTTTCTGGAATATTCTGAAATGAGATGAAATGACTATTTTCCAAAATTTAAACAAAAAATATTATTACGTTTGTGGTTTGAAAATTCCTTATTGTAAAAGATGAAAACAATTAAATAATCTTGAGTAAAATTCATAAATTTTGACTTGTAACAAATTAACATCAGAAAAGCTGCAACAAAAAAGTTGGAATTATCGTCTATATAATTATTTCATCACCTGAAATTGATCGACAAAGGGAACAGTAACATTGAATATCATCGATTTTAAGAGGAGTTTCAACTCGAAATTGCCCGGAACGATGAAAAATAATAAGAAATGATATTTGCCGAATGAAGCGACATGAACTTTGAAGGTGTTAAAATGACTGATGCGCTCACGTTGCTTAAATAAGAAAGGTGTGATCCGCACTGTGACTAATGAGCGTCGTTGAGCGTCATTGAGTGTCTGCATTTACGATTTAGCCTTTAAATGACGGGATGAACCTCAAAAGAAAATTTTTCATCGTCTTCACACATAATGCATCGATTCGTAAAACAAAGACTTGGTGCAACGGGCCTATTCTTTGCTCGGAGTAATACGTTCTCGAGCTTAGTACCTTTTTCGATTAACATCAAAGGGGTCGGATAACTGGAAATCTTCTTAAACATATATATCGCAGAGGCTGTGCTCTCGCGCGCTCAATGCATCATTTTATTACGCAAAAATGTGCACCAGCCAATTTGCGCCGTCACAATTGCCTTTTCTTTGATTATGTGCATACATATATTATACGATATTCTCTGTTTTTAGGATATTGCCGCGTGAAATCTTGAACAATAGTAAATGTGCATGCAAGGAGTTAAGCGACGTCTACGTTTCTCAAAAAAAGCTGTCCAAATTTTACGCTCTATACATGTAATGTATCTATGTATTATATATAAGATAACATATTATGTATCACCGCGTGATGCATCGTCAAATGTATAAAAGACCGTTACTCTTTGTTATGCACGACCACGCGCCACGTACCAGGCGTTTCTCTTCGTGCTGCCATGGACTTTTCATTTGGATGCCTCCATATATTGTCGCTTCAGCGCAGAAAGATATCTTTTCAAACTCAGAGGCAAAAACATGTCCAAGTTCCTGTTATTAATATAGTAGGACTTGAGTACGTTTTTGCCTCTGAGTTTAAAAGGATATCTTTATGCATTGTGGCGTCAATATATACTTACAAACGTGTACGTTGGGAGAGACACAGCCGCAGCGGTGATTGCGCGATTCTCGGTATAATTTCCATCCTCTCTTATAATTGGCATAAGGACATGCGGGGCTTGTCGACGCCTGATCGTCGAGACGCGAGATCTGCTCGAATTGCGTGACAAGATATTTGCTCTCAAGCGCGATTGCTCGACTTTTTATTATGAATTTTTTACGACACACAGAAAAATATCGCTAATGCCGTGCACCCCATAAACTGCACTTTTAAATAATTTTTTTCACAGCGAAGACGTTAAAAAAGCCACATGAATTAGCGGTTCGTTTGAAGGTTTCAAGCAGCGCAAACGCCAGTACTTCTTTTTCGATTTTTTTGTATATAATAAATTGTACGTTTTTTCATTGCTTAAAAATGTAAATTTTTCGTTTGCTATTTCAGGCGTTATTTTCGGTGATAAATAAAATTTTACGTCTTCGCTCATGAAAAAATCGAATGAAAATTATAATCTTACTTTTTTATTTATTTTTTTAAATTATACCGCTAAAAATGATTGCATTTGGACGGACCATCCATAAAATAATCGCGCCGCTTGTCATTGCTTTGCCTAACTCATGTTCAACAATGGATCGCCGAACTGAAAATTGCGCGCAGCTTTTAGCGCATACAAATAAATGAGATGTTTACCATATGAAAATAAAAATATTTAAAGCGCGTTCGTTGAAAAATCAACGGATCTTTTCAACCGTGACGAAGATTTTTGCGAAATATCTGCAAGCGAGAAGTTGCAACAAAACCTTTTTCAAATATATTTTAAACTCGTAAAATGACAAAATCGAGGCTGAAAATTTTGAAACGTCTTCTCGATGAACGCGTAGTCAAACAGAAAGACGGCAAACTCCTCATTCACATTGTCCACATTCAGGGTCGCTTTTACGCAGGTCCTGTTATTGTATTTTTTCACGGTAGGCTTTGGTCGTCGAGGTAGGTGTGCAGCGTCCGCGGAGCATTGCACGAAAAAAGAGGCTCAAACGCACTCGAGACTGGAAGAAGAGCAGAAGGAGTAGCAGCAGCAGCAGTTCGTACATCAAGAGCCAGTGGCTAAAGGTGGTGGGGTCACGTAATGAGACTCGGCGAGGAAGTGGGAGTCGGTTCTGTTATAGTAGGCCACGAGGCAGCCGCACCACTCGGTCGATCGGTCGACTCTCTCTTCCGCAGGTATATACACATCCAAGCCTTTAAGTTCAGTCTCCGTCTGGCTCGCTAGCGGCTCGCACGCGCGGCCCTCCTCTGGTTCCATTACTTCGAGCCTTTTACCGTCTCTTACCGATAATTACATAGACATATATTGGTAAATAAGGCAGACAATCGGTTCCACGCCCGGGCACCACTGAGCAACGGCACAGCGACGGTTTGTTTACAAATAATACATAGGATACCCAAGCTAGGTTCGGACGCTAATCGCGTTCAAAAAAGTCGTGCCTGAATCGAAAAATCTCCCGTACGGTGTGATGTGCTAATGCAAAAGGAAAAGATCGACGAGACGCGGACTCGGTAATGGCTGTGATCTTCCAACTGAAACCGACGCTCGACTGCACAAACCCGCCAGCGCCGTTGTCCTGTCTGCTCTCGCCCCGCAGTCACTTCCATTGTTACTCTTTCTGAGGCGATTTCGCGACTCGTCGTCCTCGCAGGTGATAACTTTCAGTGATTATCGTTGCGCCAGCCGAGTCGACGACTGAGACTCTCGAAGAGTGTTTCGAATGTGGCGCGCTCTCGAGCGACTCGCGGCCAACGAGATTGACAGAGAGAGATAGAACGCGCGGAGCTCGACTAACTTGGGTAAAATGCGAGAGTGAGCTCCGAGTGATATCAACGCTTGGAGAGGACGTGCCGCTGTCGATGCCTGAGATGACCGGCAAACAATTACTGCTCATCCTTTTCGTGCTTCCGATTTTCTTCACTGCTCTAGGTAAGTTTTTTTATCGTACTTGAATCTTTTCGTTCGATTGTTTGCCGGTCGAGACTAAATAATAGATAAACACGAGAGGTGATCTGAGGTTATAATTATTAGTAATTCGCTTACTTCGATTGATAGAGCTCGCAAAACTGTGTTGTCAAATATAATTGAACAACGTGTCGCATAAACCAAATACTTTTAACGCTCTATTGTAAAAATTATAATTTAAATGAATAAAGTTTAAAAACGGCAATACATTAGTTGTTAGGGTTTTCAAGAATCTAATAAAAAGTAATATTAACCCGCAACGTGGACAACAATGTATCCGAGAAAATAGACTTTGACAATAAGGTCAGGAATATTAAGATTATGGCATTCATAAAAAAAAATGAACGTAAATCACTCTGGCGCGTAAATTTGCATGGCTTTGAAGCCGGTGCCGCTGCAAATGTTCAACAGTACGCGGACAATGCATGCTAGTTATTATTATTTTTTCTTCGAGAGGTATATCCTTGCACTACCGTTACATCGGCAACGTGTATAATATACAATAATGGAAGGACAAACCATCTTACAAAACAAAAGGTAGAATGCATGTTGCACGAATGTACCATGCGATCGCAACGTGAGATCTTCCTTATCCTTGGACATTTATCTTAGTGATTATCAAAGCCGACGATTTTTGCGAGCTTCTCCTTAAATTTCATCGTCACACTTTCACGCGACGCACATACGGGTAGAAATGCTTTCTGAGCGTACAACTAGTCAATTCAGCCGGTACTTATTCGACAACCGAAAAAAAAAGTATCAAAAAGACGCCCGAACTTGTCATAATCGCTGATAGTCTTACTGTAAAAGGTTAATTGTTCTATGCTCGTTTAATGCGAATATGTGTGGTCATGCGTTTGTGCCTCGCTCAGTACAATAAATTACCCACGAGTGTCGCACTGCAAAATGAGTAAATTTATTTATTATTATTATTTGCTAATAAATTTCAAAGTTATAAAAGTTACGGAATTATCTCCTTGACAGTACATCAAAACAATCGAAACGACACGATTGTTTGCTTTATTTCATATTATCGAACTCATTAACTCAGTACAAATGTACTAACTCATCTTACCATTAAAGAGTATTATGGCATTTGAAATAATATACGACAAGAGTTTTCGTTCGTGCAATTTTTGTGAACAACGTGACTTACTTAACCTTAATTATGATAAGTGACCAGTAATTATCCTTGACAAACTGCAACGATTATTTCGTTGTGACGTCATTATCTATTGCCTATCGTTAGGTGACCCTTGATAATAAACTTGCAACAAAAAAGTAATAAATATTAAAAAGTATCGTACGTAGGTGGCCCGTTTCCGGTATCAAGCGTTTACATGAACACGAGATATTTTTTTGTGTTACACTTGAAGTCGCGCTTAATTTTATTATAGAATTTTTTAATGGTAATTTCTCTTTTTTTATCATGTAGATGTAAAAAATATTCATATGAGCCTGGTATCTTTTTGATATTGGATTATTCTTGCTAACTGACCACAATCTATCATTGCATATAACTGCACTTGTAGCCCCAACTATCATTCACACCTTATGGTGAAACTTGACAAAAATAATGCAGCTTTATTTTCTTACTGGTAACAAATAAATCATTTTATAGGAAACAATAAATTTGACAAATATAAATGATTGTTTCTACTCTTTTGAAATGTCAATCGAACATTATGTTAGGATATAACAAGAAATGGCGCGACAAAAATGATTTTCATCGTCAAAAGGATTCTTTTAATCAATCAAGCGCAAAATGGTCATTTGGTAGTTAATTAATGAAGTAAAAAATTCCTTTAACTTTTCTACATACAGATTTTCTTTTGGTGTGTTGCGAGACTGCACTCATGCAGAATACATGTACATAAATGTATGTTGTGATGAACAAGAACCACGATCCGTAACAACTGCATTACTGCATCAGTGAAAGCATCTCGCGGCCAATTTTTTTTATTGTTATTGCGTGTGCGAGCTTTTACAATATATACTAAAAAATCGTATTCAAATTATTTCCGAGGTGTGATAATATAGCCGAATTGTTCTTAAGAAGAAAAAGTTGTACCCGATACTCATGAAAATTTCAATGCTACTGTGCAAAGAATCATAGCATTACACGATAATAATGTAGGTGCAGCGCAAATACTCACCTCGAAAAATGTTATCAATTCATTTTCTACATTAAAAAGCAAAAATTTCCGATAGTGCATATCACATCGCTTTGTCGATACGTTAAACACTGAACACTTGGTCAATTCATTATTATATGCTTAAATGAAAATAAAAGAGGGAAAGATACGTTTACAAAGTTTGCCGCTAAAATCTCGAGCTTTTTCTCCCTAGATATGAGTGAGTCTCATGGCTTTCTCCTCCGAGAAAGTATATTATATTTATATAAAATTTAATCCAGTTTATATGTGAAATCAAAATGCGATCGTATGTGCACTCTTAAAAAGACTAATGAATATGCCATACCGATCACATTTATTTATTTTTTTTTTCATACTGTTTCTTGCACAAATTTATTACGTCTTTTTGCCAATTTTCGGATGCATCCACTACGTCAGCTGCCACAAATCCATCTACACTAAAATTTTCACAAAATTATTTTAATGCTACATTTTTTGACGAAGAAGATTGAGCTTTATGCCATGTCAAGCGAAACAAATCAAAGTAACAAGTACTTGCGTGTCGGCTCATCCATACCACGAATGTATAATTTACTTTGGATTATAATTTACCGGTTCACGTGGACTCACGCGCATCACGCCTTCCTGCGTACATGTATAATCTGTTTGACTTTTTTCCATTATCGTGCCTGTCAACGAATAATTTTATTCGCACATCAGTCGCAAGATACATAAAGCGTCGAACTTTTCTGCACGTGTGAAATTAAGAGCACGGAATATATTGAATTAATTTTTTACCATAAGAATACCTATTAACATATTTACCGATGATTTAATTTTCATTAAAAGTACCGTATCTCGAATATGTGAATTTTGGTCGTGATTGTCGCTAGACGGACAAAATATGAATTTTAATTTTTTTTAAATTTACCCTTGAGATTTGACCATGGATATGAAAGCAAAAATTGACCTTGCAACGAAGACGAGGTTTGAGAAAAGAAAAGACAAAAACTACACAACTCAAGAACGCATTATGTACGTGCTTTTAATGCTTTTGTATTTATTTACACATGTTCCAACCTTGACATCGGTAAGTGCCGTAGTGTTGTTTCCTCGTTGAGAAATTATATTACCGATACAAGCTATTTGTATACGTAAATAAGCAAATAACATGCGAATGGGTCTACATCAATTTTATTATAAAGCAGTTAATTTGTAAAGCAGTGAGAGAAAATTGGGGAAATTTAGAAATATGTTTTTTTTTATGAGCTCGATTGTTACCGCAAAAATATGATGTGTGAACTAACTGAATCGACGCTTGCAATTTCTTACCAATGATCGATTGACAATTATGTTCATTATCAAAAGACTATCGATTCCAACAGGTCGATCGTTGAAACATATAATATCTTCTTGAGCAGGGTCAATGGGATACTAATTCGGTTTGCTACTTGATGTCTTGCTGTATAAGATTAGCATCAGGAAACGTATCCAATTTGCATCAAAGCTCATGATGTTCCATTCACGAGCTTCGGATTAGTCACGCAAGCGTGACGATTCAAAGAAGCTAGCGAGTTTTTGACTACTACGGTTACGCGCGTGCAAAAACTTTGATGCCAGATGCGACGAGTATCTTACGGTACTCGATCAATAATGAGTTATAATGTATAAACGCGGCATATGTGGCGGAAGCAGCGCATTATACTAATATATTATCCGCGCGTAAAAACGTCTAAACTCGCGAGAAAGTATCGAAGTAGGCGCTTTTCGATCGGCCGCAAAACGGAGTAAAGTGCACTGCGGCGAGCTTTTTCCTCGTCGGTTCCATGGAACTTCACACAGGCTAGGAATTATATTCGTAAATACGCGGCGTGCGCCGCAATAATAATGTTTAATCGACGATTGCGCGTTCGATCGCGCTCGCTCGAGCGCCTCGCGGCTCTTGTAAGCTATATTATAGGCGCAGTTTCGATTTCTAAGTTGAACGAACTAAAGTCTATTTGCAGAAAGCGCTACGATCGCTAATTGCATTGTACCTTAATTACTAGCAACCTGGCAGACGTACCGTCACCTCTTAGTACTTTTTAAAACATCGATATTTTATTTAAGCTACGCGTCCTGGGCGCTTTCGAAACTTGAACAAATCGAAATCGCATCGTACTTTTACTATAAAAAAATCTCGTGCGCCTTTCTTATACGCAAACTCGCATAAGTGATTATCGGGCTTGAAAAGTACGAAAAAAACGAGCGAATGACGTTGAAAAAGATTCTTGCGAGTTGGCACGTCTCACGCATGTGGCGTCGGGCGCGCGGGTACAAAATTATACCGTTCCGGGCTGCAGTGCGCGGACCAACCCGAGCTGCCACTGCGTCGAGTTGATTCTTGTGTGTATAATACGTAGCGATAGCACCGGTCCGCGCAACTTTCCCGCGTACGACAAACAGAAAGTTTTGGAGGAAGACAATACGCGCGACGCGCCGCACTCGCTCTCCCCCCTCGATCAAAACAGACGAAAAAATCACGCATATGATCGATTCGCGATCGTAAGAGAAATGGATAATTTTGCTTTCCTTCTCGTGGGCGCGTACAAATTGAGTTTCGATACGTATCGATGCATTGCATAGTCGATCGTGGCCCGCGCACCTTTATTGCCCATTGGGATTTACCCGATCTTGGCAGCTGGATCGCTTCCGCTTCTCTTCCTCATCGAGCATTTTATGTACCCGGGGAATTGCGAGCCGCGTGCAATTACTTGGCCCGCTCGTATATCAACATAGTCTAATGAGTTTATCAAAAAAATATACATGTGTTCAATTGGTACACCGATG